CGCGGCCGCGGCCGCGGGCGGGGGCGGGGGCTCGGCCGAGCTGAGCCGAAGCTGGCCCGAGTGCAGTCCGTCGCTCCCACTCGGCTCGGCTCGCCTCGGCTCGGCTCGACTCGACTCGGCAGCGCGCTGCTCGGCGGGCTGGCCTGGCCTTCCTGTTTCCTCTCCCTCTCCTCCGCCAGTACGGCACGGTACGGCGCAGCGAGCGGACACGCGTGTGGACGTGACGCTCCGGCTCTGGTGTCTGCAGGGCGCGTGTCTGTCTGGGATCGTCGTCGTGCGGGTCGTGCTCGACAACAGTGTGCTGTGTCGCGTGTGGTTGTGCAGTGCAGTGTGCCAATGTGCTCCTAGTGTGCTATCCTGGTGATGAATGCCCTGGTGGTGATGCATAAAGTGTGAATTGTGCCAACAAGTGAGCCCCATATTGGATTACACCGCCTCCTCGACGCGCGCCCCCGTGCGCCCCAGCGGCCCCAGTGTGCGCGCTGCCCGCACTCCGGCTCCCACTGTCCCCGGGAAGGCTTTTACAGTGGAATTGTTCAAATTGGATTTCAATGTTAGGATGGCCCTGGCGAGGTGAGTACAGCACGACGTAGGACTTCCTAAACTAGTGCGGCATGTCAATGTCAGGCGGGCTGGCTGGCTGCGCGGCCCGCGGCCCGGCCCGACTCTAGGCCCGACCTTGGGGCCCCGCGGCGCACGGCCGCGCATGCGGCGCCTCTCAGCTGACGGCGGCCGCGGCGCGTCACGTAAGCGTTGCCACGCGCCGCGCCCGCCGGCCAGGGCTCTGCAGCTGGCGCAGCTAAGCACAGCTAGCGCAGCTGGGGGTGCGGTCCGCGGCCGCCGGCAGCTGCGGGGCTCGGACTTCCCTCTTCGCGCGTGAGGCGTGGCTCGCGCCCACGCTGGCGCTGGGGCTCCCACAAGTTTTCCGTTGGTTGCCTGTTGCTACCCCCCGGGCCCGGGCCCCTGGGGGCAAGGCGCGCGGTGGGGTGGTGGGGGCGGGCAAGGGTCGACCGGAACCCCCATGTCATCTGGGCAGGGCCGGGCAGGGCCCCTAGAGCGAGACCTCGTTGACCTGGGGTCTCGTCCCTCCAAGTAATCAACGAAACCGACGACAGCTTCGAAAATTCCCCCTCAGGGCCGCACATCACCCGAAAAACTACTTTGGTTTATCTCTCCTCATTTGCTTCGCCCGGATGGCTGGCAGTGCCTGTGTGCGGGGGCGCGGCCGACCCCCGGCGGTTCGGGGCAATGCACTGAAGGGAGGGGAGGGGCGGCGCGGTAACCCGCTCGAGTGCAACAAGACGTCGAATGTTGTGCCTCTTTGCAGTTACAGTCAAGTTTTGCGATGAATTTTACTCGTGTTGCGAAGGAAGCCGGCTGCTCCGCTGGCTCGGTGTGCACGGATGAAGGGCCTTGTGGAACCGACCCGTGGGCGCGCCGGCAGTCGCGTCTGAGGCGAGGCAGTCGAGGTCTGGCGTGGCGCGGCGCGGCGAGGTCGGAAACTGCTTCCTGCTCGCAGGCAGAGCCATGGGCAGAGGTCGCTCACTCCTCGCCTCGCGCGCTCGCGCGCCCGGTAGTTGGCCATTCACGGTGACATTGGTCGTCGGTCTGACCTCCCCGGCTCCGTGACGCCCGGGGGCCCGGGGGCCACCCAGCCGAACTGTCACGGGGTCCCCCGGCCGGACCGGGTGGGCCTCTCGGGGGGCCTAACCGCCCGGCGGTAGCGCTTCATTAGGTAGATGGGGCCACCGGGGTCGGGGCGTGGCGGACCACCCCGAGCAGGAGGAGGGGACCACCCGGACCACCCGCGCGCGCGCCGGCACGGCTGGCGGGCTGGTCGACGCGCTCGCCCGCCGCGCACCCCGCCGTGGTTGGTTGTGATGGTTGTGATGCGGCCGACTCTCGCTTGCTTTGCGACCTTGCTGGCCTTGCCCCCGGGCCGACCCGCGCAGCGCAGCGCCCACAAAACTATTCTGGGCGCTCGAGCACTGTACGGCGGGGCGGCATGGGAGTTTCCAATGGACGGCCAGACTTGGGGCGGGTGAATGAAGAAGGGAAGGGAGGAGCAGCGCGAGAGGGCTGTGGCTGCTTGGGGGCTGGGCTGCCGGGTGGTTGCTCGCGCTCCCCCTTCCCGCCGTGGCGTGTCGTTATTGAGCGCGGCTGTGTGCGTGTGTGTGTTGGAGTGTGCGTGTGTGTGTGTGTGGCTGTACGAGCAGGGGTGGGACCCTTCCTTCAAGGAGCGCAGCGTGGCGACAATCACAAACCCATATGTGCGTGGTGTCTGTGTGTGTGTTATACCGAGGCCCTCCTCCCCTTTGACTGACGACGACGACGTTGCCGTCTCCTTCGTCCCCTCACCCTGCCTTCGCCGCGCCTCCCCCGTCCGTTTCTTTCATCTCCCTCACCCTCACCCAGCGTGTCTCTCGGAGCAGTGCGAACCCCGGGGGGCTGTTAGCCCGCTCCCCTTTCCCCGCATGCCGTAAGTGCGGTGTCTGCGGCGGCGGGGCTCCAGTTTGGCTCGATGCTGGAATAATGATTTCCGAGATAAAAGTGTGTAGCTGGGTGCAGCAGAGTGCGGCACCCTGTCTGCAGCCTGCCTGGTGATGCTGCTGCATGCCAGCTGCCGCTCCTAATCGTGTTTGCTCCACTGGCTGGGTTAGGTAGGCGGGATAGGTAGGCCCCTCGGCGGCCTTTACCTGTGTGGTCCCTCCCCGGTGCCGCGCAGGTGCGCCCTGAGTGTGAGTGTGTGTGTGTGCGAGTGTGTGTTTGTTGGATGTCTGGCTCTGGCGACTGATTTGAATGCCATCCCGCCTCGCCCGCTGGGTGTGCTGTGTGACATGGGAAGGGCGTGCGCGCTCCACTGCTGCTGCTGCTGCGCGGCGTATGACCGCGGTCAAGGTGGAGGTACCCGCCGCGGTGAGCGACCGCCATGCGTAACGCACTCACACACATGCACGGCTGCAACGTCGCTGTGTTGGCGTTCCAGACGTCCGCCCCGGCCAGCCGGAGTGGAGGGGAGGGGGCGTCAACCTTGTCTGCGCCGGCCGCCGGCGGAGGGCAGGGCACGTCTCCCCCCCCCCTCCCCCTAACCTCCTCCGTCTCGTCTCAACCTCCTGCTGTACTGGTCGAGCTTCACCGTGAAGCAAGTTCCGACGGCGGGGATTCTTCACCAGCAAAGCGACTCTCGCGAAGAAGTTTGTTCTGAGTTTGCAACGTGACTCCGGTGCAGCCGGCTGGACTCGGCCGGCCCGCGCGCTGTCCACTCTGTCCACTCCACGGAGCACAAGTGCGCGGCGCGCGACCTTCCCGCTTTGTGCTTTAGACGGTGTCTCCGTAAAACTTTCCAAAGAGCTTTCTCGCGGCGTCCTTTGTGTGAATGTGAGTGTGTGTGCGTTTTTTGACAGGGTAGAGTATTATACGCACCTACCTGCAGGCCGGACGGACAGCTTGGCACCTGGCTGTCAGGGGGCGACTCAGGGCGACTAAAGAATGGCTGGCCCGGTCTCGGCGAGGTCGGCGTTGACCGGAGCTCGGAGGGCAGCCTTCTTTGTTACGGACTGCCTGGCCGGCCGAGGGGGAAGACCTCGCGGATCACGATGCTGAGCTCCGGGACGAAGGCGACGGTGACGGCCCCCTTTTCCGTGGGCCGAGGAAGGGTGCGCCGCCCCGCTCTACCTGTACTGAATGGCCCTTCACGACCTTCGCCCTGCCGCCGCTCCCTGCCACGCCCGTGCAGTGCCTGCTCCCACACGCCTCGTACCTGCTTCGGGCCCCCGCACCCCCGGACTACGTATGTGTGGGATGGCAGACTGAGATAGAACCGAATGCATCGTCCCCCGCAGCCGAGCCGAGCGGCAGCTGCAGCGTGTCCCCCTTGGTCCCCCCGCCCGGGTTGGGCCGGGCTGCTGGGCCCCAGCAGGCTGCAGCAGGCATGCAGGGGGCCCTCACACACATGGCTGCAATGTCCAGACAGGCGGGTCCAGGCGATGGGGCGGGAGGTTGCCTGGCTGAGCCTACACCACACGGTGCAGCACCACATCCCCGTGCATGCTGGCCGCCTGCCTAGAGCTCGTGCCCAGCAGTGCCCAGCGGGGCGGGGCCGGGGCGGGCGGCCATTGTGTGAACGGCTGCAAGGTCAGCTCGTCTGCCACAGCAGCAAAATGTGAGTGTGTGAGTGTGTACACAACCATACTCGGGGCGGCTCAACCTCAGCAGCAGCGCGGAGGAGGACAAGTGTCGGGTCTCTCACGTCGTGGTCCTAACCTGCACCCTAACCCGCGCCCGACCGTTCACCCCGCCAGACGGCCGTTGCCCTGAAGCGTGATTTTGATTTTGTGAGGCATTCACCTTTGGCAGCAACGGCGCGTCGCGCCGGCCCTGTTTGTGTGTGTGTGTGTGTGTGTGTGTGTGTGTGTGTGTGTGCGCGCGGTTTGTTTGACTTTTATATATTTATGTCTGTCGCCTAATATATTTTTGTGCGTCGGGTGCGACTTGCGTCGTCGGGGCTCCCCCAGACAGAGGGTGGGGGCTCCGCTCCGCTAGAGGGAGCGCAGTGACTGCGATGAACACCGTGAGAACGGAGCGCAGGACGCGCGGCCGCGAAGGGGTCGGACCCCGGCGGATGGGATGGGGGAGGGCGTCGTCCCCGGGGATGGAGGAGAGCGCGAGACTCCCCGCCAGCCGCCCCGCCCAGCGGTCAGCAGACCGAAAGGATGACGAGGGCTGACCGCCAGCCCGATGGGGTTGTATCCCTCTTCCATATCTCCGGGAACATGTCCCTGAAGGCGGAGCGTGCGGTGGTCCGTATGATGAGCAGCCCATCGCAGTCCTCACGGTGACGACTGAAGAGAAACACGACGCGAAGTAGAGACACGATAAGGTCATAACATTTTCGAAAGAAATATTTGGTGCCGCGTCAGTCGCCGGGGCTGCGATATGGCTTCCGATATGGTCGTCTGAAACCAATTGTTCGCGGGCTGTGGCGACTGAGCCGGAAACGCCTGAGCCCGAACACGTGAGCGGCTGATCGCTGCTTGTCGCTGGCCGGCCCCCTGCACTGCACTGCTGCGAGTCACCTTGGACTTGGTGGCCCGGCCCATGGCCCGGCCCGGCGCGTGCATAGCCCCGTCGTTGCTCTGCACTGTAAAACAAAATGTTATCGGCTACTCTGAAAACACACACTGCCCGCTTTTCGCTCACGCCGCCTTTATATTTGCCTGTTCAATAATGTCGTTTGTCGAAATTGCTGATCAGTGAACAAGTAATGTGCACTGTTTGCAGTTCCAGTACAGAGAAAAGTAGTACTCAGTTTTGTCGCTATCCGCGACAAAAACCAGTTCTGCAGTGTCTTATTGCGTAGTTTTATGCAATTGGCACTTGACGCGATGCGGCGTATTGCGACTCAACGCAGTAAATAGATAGTTTGCGTCGGTGCGCCAGCCGATGCGCAGTAGGTTTGTTAAGCCAATACCTGTTTTGTTATCTTTTCCCATTTTCCCGGCGTGACTGTGTATTTTTGAGAGGGTACTCGCAGCGCGCCGCCGGCCTTCATTCAAGATGCTCCCTGGTCGGCTCAGAGCCGCTTTGCCCCGCCCGGCCCACAAGTCTTTGTCTCGTTTTTCGTCGAGGCCACGCACGATCCCATTTTGATTTTTTCCTAATTCGCCGTCCCCCCCCCCTTTCCATTTTCCTGCCTGTTTCATCCATTACTTTTTTCCTGATCGTATCCACATCTCTGCCACCCCCGCCGCCCGCCTGTGCGCAGCGCGGCTGGGGTGCGGGGTGGCAGGTAGGAGCAGGGTGAGGCCGGGGTCAGAGTCGACAAGTAGGTCATCCTCGTCCTGCCCACCTTGGTCTTCTTGGTCGTCCTCTTCATGCCCTCGTGGGAGGACGGCTTTTGTCTCCCATTATCTTGCCTGCCTGCTCGCCTGGCTCAGGGGAGAGAAGATTTTTCTTTCTTTTTACTACTCTTTTCGATTCGTCTGGCGAGGGGATCGACGTCAAGGCAGGGCGACCAGGTATACACTGTCATGCGTAGTTTTCCCGTCTAAATATCGTGTGTGTTCGCATCTACGTACTTTGTATGCGTGATGTTGAAATTTATTTGTTCGATTTATTTCGTTTGCTTCTTTTTTTTTTTCGAGTATGGCGCAGTTTTGAGATGTATAGCGGATTTTCGCGCCAGTGAAGTTCAAGTTCAAGCGCTTCGTCCGTGACTGCTTTGGGGACGGTAACGTAACGCCATGTCATGCGTATCCGTGGGCACTATGTCGGGTGTGACTTGGCCGTTGGATCGGGTGGGACGGTAGCCGAGTCGGTAGCGGAGCGAGGTATCGTGGTGGGGGAGGCAGAAGGTCGTATGAGGCTCGCCTCACTCACTTCCTTGAAGACCCAAGCGAGCCAGCCAGCCACAGCCAGCCAGCCAGCCAGGGACGGGAGCCGCCATGCCCAATGCAAACCAAACATCCGCCTTTGAGAAAAAGACCTATATGTTGTTGCTTTTAACTGGTAGTTGGTCTTGCCGTAGCTTTCTTATCCCAACTAACCCATGCTTGATAATAATAAATACTACACACTATCGAGTTTAAATCTGGCCGTACGCAATCTACCAATTTTTCCCTTCTCTCTTTCATTTTTAGCACTTTGGTGTGCTCATGCCTGCGGCCCGAATTGTGCCCCTGTTCCGAATTGGTGGCCACACGTAGACTGTTCAGGGTGTCCCGACAGCCACCGCAGCCCGCCACTACTCCTCAGCCCTCTCAGCAACAGCCCTCCACTCAGCAACAGCCCTCTGCTCAGCAACAGCCCTCTGCTCAGCAACAGCCCTCTGCTCAGCAACAGCCTTCTGCTCAGCAGCAGCCCTCCGCTCAGCCAGCCGTCGAGCGGTAAGTAGGAGCTTGAACACCCCTCTCTTGCTCTTGCTGTTCGCGACGAGGTTCGGTAGGATCATGCGGGGTGGGCGACGAGGTGAGGCAGGAGGAGGACTCTGGAACCTCGTCGCTGTCATGAAATCGTCCTCGCTACTCGCGGGGCCGAACGGACGGGCGCCTCGGGCCCTGGCCGGCCTCGCGCCTGGACAGATGGACGGGTGGATGGTGCCGGGGTAAAGAGGCGGGGAGGGGCGCGGCGAGCTAGCCGGGCCCACGTGTTCGCCCCCACCACCGCCGCGGTGTCTTCGCGGCGGCGAGCTAGAAAGCGCTAGGGGGGGGGGCACTCCACGCGGTGGGCCTCGAAGAGCTGTGTAACACGGACATTGTAGGTCGCTTTCCCACCCGTGTAAGCAGTTTACCTTGCTCATTGCTCCCCCATTCTCTTCTCGCCCCCCCCCCCTCTCTCTCTCTCTCCATTTCTCGGTTATATCGTTGCTCGGCGCGGCGGTTTTCACTCCACGCTGGTGTGCCGCCGCTGCGGTCGACAAGCCCCGCCTAGGCTGGCTGCCGGTGACTTTCTGATTTTTGAAGGTCTTTAAAGAAAGCTGTGCGTGGCGGTGCCGGGCCGCGGCCGGGGCGGGCAGGGCGCGCCGCCATGGTGCCGCGGGTGGCACAGGTGCATCGCGGCCCCCGCCCTCGCTGGCCGGTGCACCTTGCAGCGACGGTTGTGTAAATTGAACAAGCTTTCGCCTCCGAGGTCGCCACGCTACGCCACGCCACAACACGCCACACCTCCCTTGCACGTGTACGTGCCGAGGGGCGCCCGTGAATCGAGTATGGTCGGTAGAGGACTTCCTCTTCTCTCTTTCTCCTTCTCCCTCTCTCCTCTCCTTCTCCCTCTCTCTCCTACCCTCTCCTTCTCCCGCTCTTTCTTCCTCTCTCTTCCTTACTCTACAGCGGCGTGGCGTTGCCTGGCGTAGCGGCGGCCCTTCTGCGCAAATTTGCCTGTCGTGGACCGAGGGCACTGGTACTCCGCGGCCGGCGTCGCGATGTGATTGGGATTGACACCATTCGATTCGAGCGAGGAGTGGGGTGATGTTTTTCTTTGCTGGCGCGACTGTTCTGCCTATTACCTCGACCTAATGAAAAAAATATTATAAAAACTATT